CTCAGGTGCCCTTTTCCTCGGGGGCGCCGTCCGAGGACTCCTCGGACGTATGTCTCCGAGCCAAATATGCCGGCAGTGCTTGGTCATTGCTTGTTATGTATAAACCCCGGCACAGTGGGACTTGGTTAATTATGTGGATTTCATGCGGTTGCCAACTTTGGCAAAACACGCATGATTAAATTTTGGCCTCAGGAAAGCTCAGGAACATAAAATTTACAATAAATCACCCTCATGATAGTGGGTGCTCTAACTGATTAGTTACAGCACAAAATCCACTATGGAGTGATTTACTGTCTGCTTTACCAATGATAAATCACTATGATTCATGCAATCCCACAGTACCCCCACAGTGGCAAAGTCACAAATTGAAATATCATATCTACTTCAAATAATACAACCAAAAAAATTCACATCTCAATGTCATTGAAAAGACCAATCAATGCTCTTTTGAATTCTTTGAATGACAATGAGGACCAATAAGATTATGACCAAATGGCCTTTGACTTCCTCTTCAACAAGCCAGGACACTCAAGTGTGAGGGGTTGAAGTGTTGGACTGTTGAAGTTTTGGAATTTGATGAGTCAACAAAAACCAAGTGACAGTTGATCTGGTAGACTGATTTGATGCATCAAATCTTAAGATAAAACATGAATCAAGCTTGATTCATAATTTGATCTGATTGTAGGGACCACAAGTCTAAAACAGGTCCATAGTGGAGCTGTGCGAGTTTTAGCGGTAAAGTCACAATGAAACCCCTTAAAACACCTGTTTACCGCACCCATAGTGGGTGCTTACAAAGCTAAAAGTAGCATCGACTTAATGAGATCTACAGTTTGATGGTTTGATGGTTTGATTGAAGTTGAATTGGATTGATGAAGTGAAAATAATCTTACAATTTATGGTACCATTGAGTCAGATGAAAGATAAATGATTGATTGATTGAAGTTGACTTCATGTGTGATGAGAACAAATGTATCTATTTGCAGAACACGGTTGCACCTGGTTGCACTTGAGGCCCTCGGACGCAGCCGCGCGCAAGGGGCTTAGTTAAGCTTACACTTGAGGAGATTTGAGGCACAGCAACGAGAAGTTTGAGATGAGATTGCAAATGAGCTGCAACGGAACCAAAACAGCGTCTGTCACAATAATCATCCGGTAATTTGACATCCGGATGGTTTGACTGAATTTTTGACCGTGATCAGCCGCGATCTCATCAAAATTCTTGGACAGGTTTCCAGAACCATGTCCGAGGCCAAGGAACTTTACCCCCTGGTGTACTTACATAAGTGTACATACATTTTGGAAATGTATGGCTCTCATGACATGATCTCACTTTTCCATTATGGATAATTCCCAATTTCCCTGTGATATCTTACTGCACGACCCTTCCATGCCGCATTCCCGGATTTGTCTACGTCCATTGATTGCCTTCAGCCTTGATGGTTTTGACACGTTACCTGAGAATAAATTCTCCAATAAGTTCACGAGTCCGATGCAGTGGTCTGCGAAAGTCCTCTATATGTATCAAAGGCAAGGCTTTTGCCCTAAAACATTTGATCAAGTTGTGACATTCCCATATTCTTCTCCTCATCATGTCTGAATTCTTCAAAAATGAGATCATCAACTTTGTCATCCACTTGCCTGCAGGCAACCCATACCCGGCGTCAGCTGATCATCTCGCAAACCTCCTTATGGTGCGTCTTGATAGCCTCTACTGACTCGTTGTTGAGCATCTGTGACTAGGTGCCCCAATCGTTTCTTATCTAACTTTTCTCGCTCTTGACCCAAAGCCATGTCCTCTACCTTCTTGGTCGCTTTATCTACAACGCGTTATCATACCAACGTTTTTAATGTGAGTAAATTCTGTTTCGAAAGAAGACAAGTACAACAAAGCGAACTAGAAACTTTCTTTGAAAATGCATTACTTATTCGATCAACTTGGTTTTAAGAATGTTGTTTCAATCAATTTACGTTCTTTACTTTTGATCAAAGTCGAAGAAAGTATATCATATTGGCCTGAATGACAGTAAGTGACTTCTGAATCTTGATTGTTTTTCTCTTATTCATCAACAATTGTAGCTGATCCATTTGATTAGTGGGACTAGTATCACTTGATCGCGCAAACCACTGTGGTTTGTGTTACTTTCTATACAGGATACGTGAGCTCAGTTTATCTGACTTTGTTTGAGCTTGGGAAGATGATCTGATACATTAACTCCTCAACTAGTCGCCATAATTGAAATCATTTGTGAAGAGTTTGTACAAACTGGTCACTTAGACCAGGCATGGCCAAATTTTATACTCGGGATCAAGTTTACGTTGACAATTGCATGTGCCGCGTAAGCTTCCATTAAGTATTTATACACCATTTTTCACGCATGCTGACTTGATTGATACTTTGTAGTGGTGAGTGTCTTTCATCTTATGCAAATTTGTAATCACACACTGAAGATCCATCTTCCTTATATCAACAGACCACAATTTAGTGATATTGTGGCTGTCAATCTGCCATTGTGCGTTGTTCAGACAGACAAATGTTGCAGAGCACATCAAACCAAAAGCGCTCCCAACTACCGTTTCATGGACGCTGAACATATTCTTGGTAGTAATTGTTGTTGTACCAACTGGTCAGCCAATGTGTACCGTGCTACGGTGCATGATTTACACTTTCTAACATTCTCTTCACATTTCAGTTGCAATTGTTTTCTTGTTCTTTCATCTTACCGTGGAATATTGGCACGTCAAACAGTTGGTGATTCCCGTCATCCAAATCTTCCACGAGAAGGCTCTCAATTGCTCCCAAGTCAAATGTAGCACGGCGGAAGTAGTGCCCCAACTCCTTGACCTGGCACGGTCTGACTACCACCTTGTCAGCTTTTGCTCTGAAATCAGTCAGTACAACAATTAAATTACGTGTTTGCATCACACAGGATCTTTTAGTTACCTACACTCGGATGGGTATAGACTATTATGTATTGTTTTGTGGTATCCTTCTGCTGGTAAGCTCATCACTTATATAAAAGAGTCCCTATTCTGAATTCTCTGTTTATATTTGCATTAGATATATATACCAATACTTGGTCTCTTGTTTCAAACCTTTTATAACCAAAGAGGAGTGGCGCTTCCAACAAAGAGACAACAGGAAGGAGTCTTTGCAAATACCTTATTGGAATTTACAATCATATTATCATTAGTGGCTTTACTTGGTTCTGCGGTAAGTTTGGATTTTTGTATCATTCTTTGATATTTCTTTTTAACTGGGTGATTGATTTACATTCTTTCAATTTATTGTCTCTCAGTCAAGACTAATTCGCAACGGTGCTTTCATCTTGAATCCAAGCTTTTGGCTTCTCCTGCGTATTGTGATTCATTCTATCTAATCTGAAGTATCATCCTCTTTCCCTTCTCTAACTGTCCTCTTTACAATTGTGCAGGGTATAAATAGTTCGATTTCTATCCTGGGGAACATGTAAGTAAAGTTGATATTCCGGCTAAAGTCCATATGTTATAAAGCTGAGGCAACCTCTTTCAAAGTGCCTTGTTTTTGATCTTATACAGTATCAGACAGACAAACGTAACTGCGCCCAATTCTCCAATTGGGATGTTGAATTTTATGTCGCAGATGAGAGATAGCAAATCTGACAAAACTGCCTCACTGGCAAGTCCAAACGTACCATTATTTGAGCTTGGTGTCAATTCCTCACGGCATGAGATTTAAACAATCTCTATAAATTTTAAGTTTGACTATCCTTAATTCTTGCATCATCTTTGCACAACCCATGCTCTAAATAGTATACTTTCAATCACATTTTATCATTACTAAGGAAAATTTTTGGCTTGTGCAGGTCTTTGTAGTTGATTTTGGAATGTGTTAATAAATTATAATGTGCTACCATCCAAATATCTTACTTGTTTGCAAACTGTTGTGAGAGAGAAACAAATGAACTGCCTACTAAACTCTGTCGTTACACACAATTGATACAATCATAAGTGAAAAAGAATTTTGGGAGGGGTGGGGTAAACAGATTTTCTTTACTTGGGATTGCTAAATTTGGAAGTGAAAGATGTGAAAGAAACTGTATAATTATGATTTTTTTTGTTGAGAATGAATCAGGATGAACCAATAAATTGTAAGTACACTTAACAAAGTCCCATGCTTGCCTCACCTCTGTGCACGGCTTTCAAAGCACTACTTATAGTGTACATGTGAGCTGTTAAGAGAGCCTATGTTGTGCATTTGATACCTGATTGGACAGACAATAGATGCCCTTATAAAAAAGTTGCTGGAAGGGCCTAAAGCCTACAAGAGTAGATTTGAAATACCAGCTGAGGTGTGAAACCATATGAAAGAGACTAACATCTACTAACATACATAGTCTGTGACTACACAATCCATTTTGTTTTGAGATGAACAACTTCTATCAACCAAAAATCAAAACAAACACAACAGATCTTTGCAGAACTATCTTGGTGATGGTGGAGCAGTATGAATGCAAGGGACCACTACAAAAATCTGGATTGACTAGACTGCTGGAGGTGGAGGGCAGGAAGATCAAAGGCTGCTTCCAAATGGCGATTTGAGAAAGGATGATAAAGATCAAACCCAAAGACTGACTTTGGATATCACAGAAAAGCAATGTACCTGATATCTGTGAAACTTGCTGCCTCAAGATTGCTGAAGAACAAAAACTTTGCAAAAATTTAGCCCAACACCATGAATATCAAATGTGATCTTTTCTTGCCCATCTTTCCGGCCAAAAATGTGACCTCCCTGGGCGCGTCTTCAAGACTCGCGCTCATCGCTTCAGCTTTCGGGCGCACCCGCTCTGGGCGGTGCTTGCTCTGCTCACCGCGCAGCAGGTGCAGGTCATATACCCCGCGACATGCCGAGCACATGGACTCGAGCTAGGGCGGGTACTCATCGTTCAGGTTCTTGGATCCATCGTACTTTCTCAATTTTCTGAACATTCAAAGAGCAAAACAAGAACCACTCACAAATCATGATTCGACATTTTCTCAAAGGTGCAGTTAAGTTAATCTCACTTTATAAACACTTTCCAATTAATTTCTTAACTAACGATCCAACTCGATGACTTTCATTTACTTACAAAAAGACTTTTTCAGGAATAAGTTATTACTTACTTCAAGATCATCTAATCGCTCAAACCTATCATACAAACCAAACCATCAAATCATTAACCCAAGAATTTCAACAAATCAATTCATTTGAAGACACCTCAATAACAAGCCTTCAAGCGAGTTTACAAAAACCAAATTATCAATCCACTTTTAAGGAAAAAATTCAACTCAGTTGGAATCAATCTCTTTATGAATTACATTCTAAAGTTTATAATTTGAATTTAGGACAACTTTTTCAAACGGTTAAAAGTTTTGGTCAACATTCAAATCAATCTGATTCGATTCAAACCAATCACAAACCTTGATCAAAGCAAATCTAACTTATTCAATATGGTTGTGATTCCAAAGTAAGATATTAGAGAAATCTAATCGTACTGAAGAGGAGGAGGAACTGAAGTCTATAGAAAGCGTTTCGATTGGTTGAAAGAATATTGCAATCCTATGGGGTTCAAACTACAGCAAGATGGTCTAGATGATAGTAATACAGGAAGTTTATCAATCAAGCCGTCGTATTCAAGTCTTTTGAGGTGGTCAATAGAAGTAGTTGGTTTAGAGAAATGTGTTTTGAAGGTGTGGATCAATGACTGTTGTTAATGTAAAAAAAAAGATCATTTCCTGGTTTCAGTTTTGGTTTATAATTTTTGATATTTGATTTGGTTGACTATTGATTTTGTTCAAGGTTGAATGGTTGCTTTGATTTTTGATTAATGTTTTGAAAAACAAGTTGATTTCTCAAATCATTCTCATTCAAAGCTGATAAAAGTAGAATTCTTAAAATGAAAAGAGATTTCTCAAATCACTTCATCACAAATAAACATTTCTTTGTCTTTTGAATTGTAGTTCCACCGCAGAGATAATCCAAGCTGAATCCATTCATCATTTGCACTTTACGTTGATAGATATGAATTCGTAAATGAATGCATAAACTACTGGGAATGTCTGAAGTGATAAGATGATCAGGAGTTTTGTCACGGGTCGGATATCTTAAAGACGTCATTCATTTCTGTTTACCATTCATGTCTGTTTACCATTCATGTCTGTTTACCATTCATGTCTGTTTACCATTCATCAAGTCCACTTTCTTCATTTAAATACCTTTTTTCAAGATATCAAATTGGTATCCAACATATACTATGAACCTAGCTGGTCTAGCCTTCTCCACAAATCCTCGGATCGTTTTATGTTTGGTTTTGTACCTCTTGCTTTTTTTTCTGTTGTTTTTAGGTCAGCTTTATAATTATCATTCTTCGGTTACTGTGCCAAAGGGGTTTTACCTTGTTTTACCTGGAGATCGGATGATTTAGTTCTCATCTCACGTAGTATACAGTTCGATATTTCAAGTTTCTGCTCGACTCAAAAAGCTTCTCAAATCCATTCTTATCATATCCATGTAGATTGGACACTTTCCAGAACCAACCAATTTTTTTGAACAAACTTATCAATTTTAACCCATCAGAATAAAGAAAAAAACATCTGAAAATCAAATCTCTTTGAGATTTCCCAATTCTTCATTCTCTGTAATATTTGAAAATACAATCAAGGTGTTTTTCAACCTTCCCTCCACAAAAGAAATATATAGATCTAAACCGATTTAGTGCACATTTTATATTTATTTGAATTCGGCTACACAATGTTCTCCTGGACCATATGGCTATGAAGGAAGAAAAATGGAATCAGAAACTGATGGAATGCGATGTATGAGAGATAAATACAGAAAACAAACCTTTTCAGAGAGTGAAGTAAGTCCACCAACTGGTTCACTACTCTTTCTAGAAGATTGAGGACCTGGACTTGGTTTACGTCCAGCTTTCAATTCATCCAAGATTTTCTTCATAGAATCAGGTGTAAGATCCTCCTAAAATACCTCTCTCTCATCAAGTCAGCTTCACTTCAACACCTTTTTTCAAGATAAGATGAAAACCAAACACTCACGTAGAAATCATCATTGATTTGTACCATAGGTGCATTACTACAAGCACCTAAACATTCGACTTCGATCACGGTGAATTTCTTATCAGCTGTGGTTTGACCTAATTGGATACCTAAATGATCTTTTATTGTATCTACAATGATACTTGAACCACATCCACCTAACATACAAGGTGTAGTAGTACAGACTTGAACAAAGTGTTCGCCTACTGGTTCACTAAGAAGTATAAACCGGTTTGATTAAAATAGTGAGTTTTTTGATGTGATTAGAAAAGAACAAAAATACGTACCGATTGAACATCGTATAGAATGTAGCTACTTCATAGACTCGCATTGGGGTCATGTCTAATAACTTTGCAACATAGTTCATGACACTAATCGATGTCCATCCTTTATTTTGCCGCTGAGCTAAATCTAAAACTGGAATGACTGCTGCTTTTTTATATTGAGGTGGAAAGTTACTAAAGAAAGAAAAATCGTTCCAAATGAAGAAGAAGGAAAAGAACACATTAGCTTTTTTGGGTGTAGGATGGTAAGGAATCAAAAGAAAGAAAGAAAGATGGAATTTCGGATTTAACTCTATACATCTTTGTGCTTGCTTCATATACTCTGGTGTAAATTCAAAAGGTAAATCAGGATTATTATAAGAAGTATTACGATGAACGAATAAACTAAACATCAACATCAAAACCAAAATCATCCCTGTAAGTTAATCATTCATTTGATCATATGGAATTATTTATCGTTCCGTACCTATCCGATGAATGTTTAGTAAAGGTAGTAAATGATTTGATTGATGTATTTGATCTGATTGGATTGATCGTTGGTTTGATGAAAGTTTTCAAGTTCCTGAGTGCGAGGTTTGATAATGACATGTTGATGTTGGGTTTGGGTTCTTTTCTTCTTAAAGCTGAGTTGGAAGTTGATGGTGTTGTTCGATCTGCAGCTCTTTCCTTCGATTTCAACTTTCTCCAATCAAATCCGGGCTTCACTCGGGTAGTCCGACCCTGATCGAGCAGGGCTTTTCTAGGTGCCTCATCGGGCAGTTTTTGACTTCAAAGCTCACCTCTCATCGTTCTCCTACTTTCCCAAGAACTTTGTACTGTGGATATTTTTGGATTCATTGGAAAAGGTCCCCAATTTTCTGAAAAAAGGCTTTCTTAGGATTCGGAAGACAAATTTGGCTATTCCTCAAACAAAAAGAAGTTCATCATGTTGGTATACATAACACCTGTATCTCCTACATATTTACTTCAAATAAGGAAGCTTCAGTTCACATCATCGTGATGTTGGGAACGGCTTTGAATGATTTTCACTTTCCATATCTCGGTTTCAACTTTTGAGGGTCAAGCATGAGTTACAGTTTGAAATGTTTTGTTCTCATCAAATAGTCTGGGAAGAACTCTAAGAAAATTTGGAACCCTTCATAAATATCAAGAAATACTGCATATATGTTAAAAACTCAAAGGGACGTGACAAAGAAAACACCAGAAAGAAAAGTTGCGTGACATTCACTGTGTTAAGACTCGGCAAGATGGGTCTGTAAATACTTTATGAACATATTTTCCGGCCGGTCTCAAATTTTCATGATCACCAGTACTCGGCGAACTCTTTTTACACCAAATTATTCGTACATTCATACCATATCACGTTATCCTCGATAAGTAACGAGTTTAATAATAAACCGGGTTGAATGTGACTTTTGATTGTGGCTGTAAGACGCGGATTGCAAATCGGGGTCTGTTTTGAGTCTGACACCTCGAAGTTGGTGCCCGATTAACTAAGTGGAATCAGGACATGGAAGATGAATGAACGACGAACTGATGATCCTCCAACAATCGGGATTTACAACACGATGGTTCTTTTCTACTCATGAGTACAGAACCCCAGAGTACCAGAAATCCCAACGACAGCTAGAACACTGGTGGTAAGATGGATTCAACGGGAGAGGTATCACTCGCTAGGATTGGTTCCAGTTTCTCCAACAAACCATCTCAATCCTTCCCAATAATTCTTCCGAAACAGTGTTCCTAGAAGAAATTCTTCTCAAGCGGCATATCCCTTCCTAAACCCAAGTTCTCATCAGTTCTAGTCGCGACATTTTTTTTTGCTTCTATCTATTTCTTATATCAGTTCAGACGCTAGTAGAAGTGAACAGAGGTTTCCTAAGCGGGTATCGCGGAAGGAACACAGAAAATTCCCTTCAACTTCTGTATCGAGAGTGCTAGAATATCCCAGCATAATCTTATCCAGGAAATCTGGCGTGCCGGATTTCTAGAGTTAAGCCAACAGACCGGTCAGGATACGGATGGCAGCGTGGGCGAACCATAACAGAGATGTGGCAGAGACCCTTCAAGGTTTATTGGAAGCATATGATTTGGGGGGAGGCAGCACGATATACAACATGGTGTCCCTACGAGCCTCATTTGCCCAAACTATCCCTTTTGATAATCCACACTTCCACCGCCACTTTTCCATTTTCGCCACCGAGGCTTTGGCCAAAGACCTCAGAGCTAACCGATTCGTGTATCCAATCGGAGGTCAGCCACCTGACCCAGCTTTACCTATCCAAGACACAATGCCCTATATCTACCCCGTCCACTTGCTTCAGAACTTACGCCCCAACGATCAGCCGGAAGAAGATGGAGGACAAGGAGCCCGAAGAGGACTGAGGCGTGATATGCCGGGAGAAGGTCTTGAAGGCAGAAGAGAGGAAGGAGGAGGAGGACAACCTGGACAAGAGGAAGAGAACAGGGGAACAGGCGATGGTCCCGAAGGAAACAACAAAAGGAGCTTGGACGACAATTCCTCAGACGACAGTTTCCAAGTATCGAACCCTACCTCTTCTGCATCTCATGTTTTCACTTTCATCAAAACTGCTAAAGCGGACGAACAAGTCCTGCCGCCAGAAGCGAAAGAGATCACGAAGTTGGTTCTGGAATACAGAACCCACGATCTCAACGCAGCTGTCCTCGCGTTTTGCTGGAGGTCAGGGAAACACCACGATTTTCCCGACGCATTGGTCAGAGACCTCCTGCAGTATAAGTTCATCGATTTGGAGAAAATCAACGCAGGGCCAACAGCGTGCAAGTTTGATGTGTACTCCAAAAAGGACAGCGACCCAGCTTCGAAAATCAAACCCAAGCCTTTTAAAGAAGCCACAGAGTGGCGCGACGCGGTTTCACTGTTGGTGGAAACGCTTTGTATCGCTTTCGTATGTTATTTTTGTCTGTCTTCAGGTCGTATCCTAGCCATACCAACGCGGCCATACCGCTTTATATCATACCTTCACGCATGTTAACTGTGGGCTACGCCTTTCGCGCTCTGCCGGGGGATGTTTTTGTTCCGCAGGATTGTGCAAAGGATTCCTTCAGGAAATACGACAGGCATCTTAGGGAAATGGAGAAAACCTTTAGAGACAAGTTAAGCTCATTTCGCATACCTATATAGCCAATCACATACCATACCTGAATCAGCCACGTGACTCCAGTGCCAAGCTGACATTCTCGTGCGCGATGCGTCCTCATACACAGGGCAATTGGTGCATGGTCGTCAAATACGACATACAACTACGCGAAGCGTTCGCCACACGCAGACACCTGTCCTTTGCGGATTTCGCCAAGGACGAACTTTCTCACCTCAAACACCTGGCACTGGCAGGGAGGGATGAACAGCATTCCTCGCACCAAGCCTCAACGTCTGCATCAGGCTCTACATCGTCCGCTTACGTGGCTCGCTCGGCTTTGTCGAAGCCTCGGCCCGATAAGAAGCAACGTACTGAATCGCCTTGGGCAGGAAAGGTCAAAGATACATCGAGCTACCCTCGAAAACAACAAATATGTGGAGGTTGGAATCTCGTAGGTTCCGCATTACACATACCCCCCCCCCACCCCTCCCCTCGAGGGATACCCAACCTCTAAGAAGGGCACCTCACCGAAGCGAAGGGCAGTCTTTACCCGAATACAAAGCTAATACTTCTCATACCTTTCCCACCACCCAACGCTATTTTTCTCTTGTCTTGGTTTGCCCAGAACAAATGCGATGGTTCTAAGTGCGGTCGCCTTCACGACATGTGCGACTACATCGGATGCTACGAATCCCACCAACGCATCACCCACTCCGCCTGAGGTTCAATCATCAACCTGCATCCCTCCGGACATAGACTTTCTCACCAAAGACTGGCTGTCCAGAGAGCTCACAAACGACGAGCCCGGAGTTCGAAAATACAAAAGAGGATACAAATGGGACTGGACAAGCGCCCTAGGCTACTCTAATGCGATAGACTCCAGTCTGTACGCGGCCCCTCTAGACCGTCCACCCTTGCTAGATCAAGACCCCCAAGCTCGTTTCGCTCTATCCTACTACGACGATTTGTTCTCCATTGAATGCCCGGTAGACACCAAGATGTTTGCTTACCTGCTGAAGGACCACCCGAACCAGCCGTTCGTCCAGTCAGTAGTTGACGGCCTCACCCACGGATTCTGGCCTATGAGCGACATACCGTCCAAGAAAACGGTCATGGTGCCGAACCACAAAGTGTGCGACGAGTCGCCTGAACTACTCACTGCTGCCAGAGACGCCGAGGTGGAAGCGGGCAGGTACTCAAAGGGTTTCTACACCTTATTGCCGGGGATGAAGGTCTCGCCCCTCCTGCTAGTGGCGAAGAAGGGCTCTTCCAAGATGCGGGTCTGCACCGACATGAGTTTTGGGAAACCTTCTCTGAACGATTCCATCATCAAGGACCGTATCAAGTGCTGCTTCGATTCTCTTATCTCTTTTGCCCCATATATGGCGGACATGCATCGACGAGGCATCAAGATGACGCTGTGGAAGTCGGATGTACAGAACGCGTACCGCTTGCTAGCCATGGCCCTCCTCTGGCAAATGCGCCAAGTAGTCAGAGTAGGCGACACCTTCCACATCGACAAATGCGCAAACTTTGGTTCGGCAGCCTCCCCAAAAATCTGGGTCTCTTTCTTCTCACTGGTCTTGCGGATCGCTAGAACCCGGCTGGGCCTGTCCCACATCAACAACTTAATGGATGATACGTGGGGAGTCTGCCCAGCGGATTCCCTGGTCACCTTCAAAGGCCACACGATTCCCCTCGACCAGGCCAAGCTTTTGCTTCTCTTCGACCTCCTCAACATCCCATGGGAGTGGAAGAAGCAGCTACACGGGGTCAACCTAGAGATCATAGGCCACTTGGTAAGGGCAAACGATATGATGTTCACCCTGCCCGAGGAGAAGAAGTCCGACCTTGTCTGGGCGCTTCGATCGTTCACCAAAACGAAGTCGCGTAACCTACGCGAATGGCAGTCGATGCTGGGTTGGGCGTCGTGGGGTTTGAATTTGTTTCCCCTTGGACGTTGGGCGCTCCAGTCATCCTGGGACAAGATCGCCGGCAAGACCAGAAAATCCTTGATCGTCCCTCACAATAAGACGATCCAACACGACCTAAACTGGCTCGCGGATAACCTTGAACGTTCCGACGGGAATTTGTTTCTGTCCTCGTGTGTTTGGCACATCAAGGAGGCAGACTTCATTTGCACAACGGACGCTTACCCAAGCGGGCTGGGTATGTGGCTACCGAACACGGCAGAAGGCTTTCACGCGTCCCTCTCGCTTCCCTCGCGGGACATCTTCTGGGCCGAGTTGGCTGCAGCATGTCACGGCATCCTGCTAGGCATCGAGAGAGGCGGGAAGAAGATTTTGATCTGCTCCGACTCCTCTAACGTCGGGGACTTATTCCTATCCCACCGTCCGGTGGAAAAAGTCCGCGACCTATTTCAGGCAGTGATTTCGAAGATAATCAGCGCAGGCGTCGATGTCAGGGTAGCCCATTTACCCGGTGTGAAAAACAAATACGCAGACGCTTTATCACGCAACGTTCCCGACACGGTCATAGCCGAGCTGCCCTACGCCACTGTTTCCCCATTTACCCCCTTTATAGACCTGCCGGAAGGAGGTTTTCCTTCCACCCACAATAGACATGTCTTACCCATCCCGAAGAGACCTTCTTGCCGCAATGGCAGCAGTCAATGCTGACCAAGCATTGGCTTCATCAACAAAATCAAAATATCGGTCAGCTGTCGTATCCTTCCTGAAATTTTGCAGCGAAGAGAGTTTCGAACCAACACCTTCAGTGCAATCCCTTTTCGCCTTTATATCTTCGTCCTGTCGTCGCGTTAGTGTCAGGACAGGCAAACCTCTTTCTCCCAGATCAGTCGAAGCGTATCTTTCAGGCATCGCTTCTGCCTTCCAACCCTTAATACCTCACATCACTTCCATCACCAACCATCCCGAGGTTTGCAAAGTCCTCAAAGGCTGTAAAAAGCAATTCTCCCTTCCCGTTATTCGCAAGGAGCCACTATCCATACCAGATCTAATTCGAGTCTCCCAATCCGCGGATTCGTCATACGATTCCATTCTGTTCACCGCGATGATTATCTTGGGGTTTCACTCCCTGCACCGGTTAGGCAAGCTGACAGTTCCAGACAACGCGAAACTCCGAGACAAGAGGAAGATATTGTCCAGGCTATCAGTCTTGGTTTCCGACTGTGGCTCCTTCATACGCTACACCCTGCCTTACCATAAGGGCGACCCGTACTTCCTGGGGTCTACCATCGTAGTCTCATCCTGCGCGATCGCGGGAGCTTGTCCCGTCTCCTCTCTGCTGTCTTACTTGAAAGTTCGCGACAAGGCTTTCATCGCTTCTCCCCATCTATTCATCACAAGCACCGGCGCAGTACCCACAAGGTCGTGGTTTCTAAAACGTTTTCATACTTTTTTCGGCGCTCACAAATCCGGCCATTCCATGAGATCGGGAGGCGCATCAGCCCTGGCTCAGGCAGGTCTGCCGCCAGAACACATACAAGACGTGGGCAGATGGTCGTCTGAAGCGTTCAAAACCTACATTCGCGACCATCCGATCATGCGTCTACCGCTACAAAAACGCTTTCCCCTGTCCATAGACGGCCACCTTGGCGCGGGGGTCTCCTTCAATCCCCAGAGTTACCCAGGTTCCTCTTGCTTCGCTTGCTTTGATTATTCCACTTGTTAGCATAAAGTAGTCTAACCATAAATCATCAAAACCCAGGCAAATAACAATCAGATCCTAAACTTCTAGTCATTTTTCATTCTCTTGAGTAGTACTAGTAGGAAACATGATACGCTATGTGTCCGTCTTCCTTGTCGTTGTCATGGCTTTTTCAGGTGAGCCTTTCAGCTAAATTGATGCTCCAAGAATCAAGATGATAACTAATCCAGAGTTTTCCTATTTCGATACCTTTGGGTTTTTGCAGGCATCACATCAGCACTTCCACTTGGATTGTAGGTCTTGCTGGCTATTTACTCTCAAACTGATTGGACACTCATCACTTAACTCTTGCGTGACCAGGATGCTAACCAAAGTTGATGGCTTGACAACGTGTAGCATGATCCTCGATCTCAGGTAAGTTGCTACCTGGTTCTGTAACATAATATCTCTTAAGCATTCATCTCATATTGGCGATTCATCTGTAGTCCTCCAAGAACCCCTAAAAACCTATCCAAGCGCACGTATGTTCTATCATCTACAGTGGGTAAACCCGAGTACGTGTTCCGACCTGCCCTGCAAAATCAAATTTCACCTTTTGGGTCAATGTCGGGGCACTCAATTTGAATGTTTGAGACTGGCACCCAGACCATTGAAAAGGCATTGCTTTGATGAATCTAGGAATATGGTTTTGGAGACCAAAAATATGATTTTACTCTTTTAGAGGTTTGGATTTTCGGACCTAGGCCTCAATTAGGTACCTATCTAGCTACTTAGCGGCGCACTAGGCCTATAATTTAATGAATATGGCTGCTCAAGTGGCAAATAACAACCAAATTTGCTTTTTTTTCAAAAAAAACCAAAAGTTTTGCAGCCTAACACCACCCCTCAACCTTACTCTCCCGCCAAAAAAAGCAGAAAAAATGGCAAAAATTTCTCAAAAATTTCGGACCCAAACCTCTATGCGGACTGGCTTGGAACACATACTCGGGTTTACCCACTGTATGTACCTGTTAAAGGAGACTTTGAAAAGCAGTTTACTTATCGGTTGTTGGGCGCGACCTCAATACCAGACCGGTTTTAGATCTTACTAGTGCGCAGCTCAGCGGAAATGCTTATGGTTACAAAGAGCAAAGGGCAGGCTGATGATACGTCTCCAAAATTAAATAAGAATTTTGCTAGGGTATGTACGATTCTTTTGAATCTTTTCTTAACGATGCCTTTTGAAGCTTTCTGTCTTACTTATATGATCTTTTACTGCCTATATACAGATTTTGCTTTGTACCCACCAATCATGTAGTGATTTGAGAACTTTCAGCCGAGGCGGTGACCACTTTAATTTGTCAGATGTTTTCGCTTATAACTTGTCCTTCGAGTACCGAGGACCTTTTTGTTTTTGCTCATCCCGTAATGAAGACAATTTTGCAACGATACTGTTGATGAAGATGCTTGATTCATCCATTAAATTACTCTTCACAAGCTAGGTTTATTCTTTATATTTCGATCATTTTCATTTCTACTTTCTTTTCTGATTCTCAATTTCTGTGTAAATACCATTTATTACAATTCATTAACTCTCACGTAAATATTCTACGTTGGTTCTGAGACCGCTAGCTATATAGCCTAATACAATCTTTAAGCTACATGGCTGGTTTGGGGGGGGCCGGTAGGCCGTGGGTCTGCAAACCGTGTAGGCTCTCTGCTACCTTCTCTCGGGACGTATCGTCCAGAGCCAGCGGAGAGCCGTTCTCGGTATGTCCCGAGTGGTACTGATCTGCAGAGTTCATCCCCTAATTCAGTTGTCTGTTATGTATTCTATGAACTTCTCCATCTCGCGTGTATTAGTTCAGTCTCTATACAACCTCTTCCTGTTTCAACTACAAACTT